GCATTCTTTTTAGATGTAGGTAAGGATAAAGATGAGGATACACGGTTTCTGCAACAATGTAATTGAGGTGGTCCCCTCATTCTGTTACATGAGATCCAGTTGGACGATATTTTGCAATACTAACTACCATTTTTGGCTCTGATTAGAAAGAACGCATGTGTCTCTCCTTTCCCTATGTGGATAGGTGCTTTCATGGATGGGCCAGAAATAGAGGTGTCGTCAGCTAAGTTGACGGTTGTTTACTTTCGGTTTGCAAGCACCAACGTCGAATTTGAGCCTCTGAACAAAGCAGCGTTTGCTACTATCCACATTGAAAACATCAGTCTCATGATCGTTTCGTAAAAAAACTACCTATCAGTTATGATTTGCGACTTTTTTGTGGTTGTGAATCCTTTGTGGCTAAAAATTGAAGTGTTGTAGGGTTTGAAAGTATTAAAAAAAACTTATCTAAGCTTGTGTTCTTGCTTCTGAGAGAGTCTGATGTTTTCATGTGGATAGTAGTGACGCGAAAACGCCTGCAAACCGAAAGTCAACAACCGTCAACTTAGCTGACGACACCTCTAGTAGCTTGCAATTGCAAAATTTGGTCCAAATATTATGCGATATTTTTTACGCGATACAGCATCCGTTTGAAAGAGGGCAATTTGTCCGTTTTACATTCTCACACTTGCGCTCCACTCAGAATCAGCACATTAATTTACTCTCACTTCCTGGCTTCCTCTAATATTATAAAGACGAATCTCCTTAATCGGCAAGACCCGCCTACATCCAAGACACCAATATATCATGTCAAAATTTGTGATTCTGTCAGCTGTGTTTTTTTTTTTTTTTTTTTTTTTTTTTTTTTTTTTTTTTTTTTTTTTCGGGTTTGACGCGAAGTTGCATCACGCAACCGCGCGCCTTGGCACCATCCATCAAACCCATCAGACTCGCAATTCAGGCATGCAAATCAGCCTTAAACCCAGGCGAGGCCCGAAATTCGGCGCGCAGAATCCTCCTCGCTCCCAGTTTCAAAATAACGTATGTGCCCGTAGTTTCCCTATGCACATGAGTGTTTTCGAGAAGAGCCAGAATTTATAGTTCCAAATTGCAAAGTGCTGTCCAATTAGCTGGTCCTAAGCGAAACCGCTTATCTTTACCGGATTTTCATGGAGCTTGTGTGGTTTCTGCCTAGCAGGGCGAAGATAATCGGTGCTTTTCTGATTGACATAAGATCTTGGTGGCTGAGGAGTATTCGGTTACAGTTGGCTCGTCGGGCATTTGTTACGTCATTCGGGCACGAGCGCCAAATCCAGACGAATTGACCAAATATGGCCGTGGATCATGATTCTGATGATACTATTCGCCTCGCAAAACCGAGATTTCGTAAATCGGCAAAATTCCTAGAATATTGCGAAGATTTCGAGGCTATTTTGATGAAAGTATTGCGTGTAAATTTTGGTATATTTAACAATCTTTCACCTTAATTCGGCGTCACCAGTCACAGGGGTGCAGAAAGTTCTGATCCTTCCCGAGGGGCTTGGGGCCGAGGATCGAATGGATTACATTTTGCAAAAAGGAACCACTATCTCTGGCTCCAACTAAAACTGCTACTCTACAAGTCAATGTTGAGACCCATCTGGAGTTATGGCTGCCAATTGTGGGGTTGTGCAGCCAAATCAAATCTCAACAAGATAGAAACAACACAAATGAAAATACTTAGAAACATAGTTAAAGCTCATTGGTATGAGAGAAATGCGGATATCAGAGCGGATCTCAACATTGACTCTGTAGAGGATTACATTACAAAAATGTATATCTCCTACGAAAACCGTTTACACAACCATCCGAATCCAGAAGCGCTTGCACTGCTGTTCAAGGATGATGGCGTAAGGAGATTAAAACGCAGAAAAACCCATGAGCTTGGAATCCAGGGTTTTTCAAAATTCTCATTATAATAAAACAATGAACGCCTCCTATTTGCTCCTTGGACTTGTCAGGAGATACTTGATGTTTAGACGGGTCAGCCCGTCGTTACACAGTTAAAAAGAAAAGACATTTTTATTGTAAAATAAATATGTTTTATTTTATCACACTCCAGTTAGATATAGGTAGTACATAGTAAGTTAAAATTAAGTAATAGTTAATATTATAGCTAAGTTAAGATAAGCATTTAAAAGACCTTAATAGGTCTAAATGTATCACTGTACAAAGTTTAATTTGTTGTGCAAATAAAAAAAAAAAAAAAAAAAAAAAAAAAAAACTATCTCTGGCTCTCTCATGAAAGCACATATCTGCATAGGGAAATCAATGGCATGCATGTTGTTTCTACAATGGGCCAGTAACAGTGGTTCCTTATTGCAAAATGTAATCTAAAAGAGGGGCTTGGAGCTTTATGTACCAGGCGCTCAAGTGCATTTTCTGGAAACTGATGGTAACAATTTCAACAACAAGTAGTCTTGAAATATACAGTCTGTGAAAAATTCACCAGTAAAATCCAATTTTTAAGCATTAAAATGGAAGTTTGAACTTCCTTTTCTCCGTAAAGCGTCCAGCCCACGTTCAAACAGGGGCTCTCAAACTAGCTTTGATTCTTCAGTTTCTCAGCTTTTTCTGCACGCAATTCCTTGAAAATTTCAAGATCTGACCTGTGATGTGCCCTAAATACATCGGTTACCTTCAACGATCGTCAGGCCGATGAGTTTTGAAAGGATACAGTCAACAGTTCCATTGATGAGGCTCCTTGATGGCCCGACACTGGAAAAAAAGTATCTTGGATCCGGAGCCCAGACTTTTAAAAATTTCGACAAGAAAAAATACTCTTGCTTCAATCGGATATTTGCTTGAACAAAAAAGAAATCCGCTTAAATGAAGAGGCTGGGCTCTCGATTCAAGAAATCCGATTGCATCTCTTAAGAGTATTTTTTCTTGTCAAAATTTTTAAGAATCTGGACTTTAGATTCAAGATACTTTTTTCCAGTGTAGTTTGTGCGTGGGTTGGACGCTTAGAGTAAGCTCCATGTAGAGGTGTCGTCAGCTAAGATGACGGTTGTTTACTTTCAGTTTGCAAGCGCCAACGACGAATTCGGTCCTCTGAACAAAGCGGCGTTCGCTACCATCCACATCGAAAACATCAGTCTCATGATCGTATCGTAAAAAAACTACTCATCAGTTATGATTTGCGACTTTTTTGTGGTTGTGATTTCTGTATGGCTAAAAATTAAAGTGTTACAAGGTTTGAAAGTATTAAAAAACTTATCTAAGCTTGTGCTCTTGCTTCTGAGAGAGCCAGATGTTTTCATGTGGATAGTAGTGACGCGAAAACGCCTGCAAACCGAAAGTAAACAACCGTCAACTTAGCTGACGACACCTCTAATTTTAAAAGTTTATCCTTGTATTTCTTGAATTAGGAAAAATTGCACTTATGCTCCTTTTTCTTCACGCCTCTGTAATCCACGATCATTTTTTTCCGTGTGAAGACTTGTAAAATATGAGACTCACCTTGAAAATGGAAGCTTCCTGGGCCGCGTCGCGTCGGAACCGCGACGACCGTAGTCGACCCGCAAAGGTCAAAGACCCGACACAAAACGACACGAACGACTCACGACTCTCGGGAGGAGACCTTTGTGCACCCTCCACCCCCTTNCCCCCCCCCAACCCCCCATTGCCCCGCGCGCCGGGATCGGTGGCTCAGCGGTATTCATACGCGGCTTCGCATGATCCGGCGCTCGCCGACGGATTTGCGCTTCTGATGAGCTTTTTAGTTCGTATAATCTCATGTTTTTCGGGGCTCACGTGGAAAAAGTTTTGGGAGAAAATTCGTCGCCATCCTGACATTAAGGCGTAACTACACTCTGCAATGAACCCTGTCGTCCTTACAATTCAATGCTTTTCCGAGCTCATCTCAAAGTGTAGATAAGCCTTTTTTTCTTTAGCTGGGCCACAAATTTTTCCAGGAATGCTAGGAAAACTCACAAAATGTCGGTGACCTGTCTTGAGGAAAACTGGCATTTTCCCCTGCCATGCACCCTGTCGTCCATGCAATTCAATGCGTTTTCGGGCTCATCTCAAAGTGTAGATAAGCCTTTTTTTTTTAGCTGGGCCACAAATTTTTCCAGGAATGCTAGGAAAACTCACAAAATGTCGGTGACCTGTCTTGAGGAAAACTGGCATTTTCCCCTGCCATGCACCCTGTCGTCCATGCAATTCAATGCGTTTTCGGGCTCATCTCAAAGTGTAGATAAGCCTTTTTTTTTAGCTGGGCCACGAATTTTTCCAGGAATGCTAGGAAAACTCACAAAATGTCGGTGACCTGTCTTGAGGAAAACTGGCATTTTCCCCTGCCATGCACCCTGTCGTCCATGCAATTCAATGCGTTTTCGGGCTCATCTCAAAGTGTAGATAAGCCTTTTTTTCTTTAGCTGGGCCACGAATTTTTCCAGGAATGCTAGGAAAACTCACAAAATGTCGGTGACCTGTCTTGAGGAAAACTGGCATTTTCCCCTGCCATGAACCCTGTCGTCCATGCAATTCAATGCGTTTTCGGGCTCATCTCAAAGTGTAGATAAGCCTTTTTTTTTTTTTAGCTCGGCCACAAATTTTTCCAGGAATGCTAGGAAAACTCACAAAATGTCGGTGACCTGTCTTGAGGAAAACTGGCATTTTCCCCTCTTTCTTTTCGGGCATTTCGTCGTTCTTCTCACGAAAGAATGAAACTACATTTCAATGTTCCCAAATTTGCCCACGCAGATTGCGTTGATACTAAGAGAATTTAGGGTGTTTCTGACTGAAAATTTCACTGATCTCAAACCAAAATCATAAAAGTTTTGGACAAAAATTGCTCTTATACATTCTTGTGAAAAATTGAAATGTCCCAGTCATTTTTTCGACCTGGAATAGTGTTACGTTCCCTCGTTCGGAAATGGGGATTTTTAACTCTATTTTGCTTTACTTTGACTAATCTATGGCTTCTTCGGCGAATTCGATGAAACTTGTCTAAATCTTTATTTATTTTGTTTCAGGTCCAGGATTATGGCGACGCTGCCGCGCTTTCCTGAAACCTAAAATCAGGTAAGTTCTTCCTGAATACTCTCTCAGATCAACCTTATACAGTTTTCCGCAACATCTCAACTTAATTCCCATTTCCCGTGGACGTATAGAAATTATCAGCGGCCGTCCAATTCTGAGAGCGCCATTGAAATTTCACGTAAAAAACCAACGAAATTTCAAATAATTCCCGTTTTATCACAAGAATAGCTTGAAATTTCAATTATTTGAATTTTTACGGGAAAATTTTGTGTTTCTCGTGAAATTTGGCCCTCATGGTCGGTGGTTCGTGACTTTTTTTAATAACCCTGTAGATTTCAGGGTTCATCTCAGAATGGATATAGTTCTTTTTTATTTACACAGGGTGTCCCAGGATTAAGTACGAATACTGAAGGAGTCGATTCTTTAGGTCAAAAGAAGACGTTATTGTGGTATAACTTTTTTCCGAAAAACGCTTTCCGTGGGGGTCCGGGGCCCCATTATCCCCCTATTATCAGCTCCTGTTATTTTCTTTTAGTCCTTATTATCTCGAAAACGATGAGTTATAGCGAAAGAACTCATTTTCTTAATATTTTTCAACGCTGAATCTTGTGGTGCCGTCAAAAATCAATTTTTGTCGCTAGAAACATTGATTTTGTCCACTTTTAGGTTTGGTACCCCCCCCCTCCCTAAACCCCTCTCAAAATGAGTTTTACCTTTTTTGGAGGTCAATAATGGAAAGAACGCTAAAAATTACTTCTAGTTACCATTTTTCATTAACATTGGTTGATAAACATTGCCGCAGTGTTAAAAAGACGATTTTTCTCCTTCAATTTTGGGGAGTCAAGGTGCCCAGGGAAACCGTTTTTGGAAAAATTTATACCACAAAAACGTCTTATTTTGACCCAAAGAATCGACTCCTTCAATATTCGTATTTAATCCTGAGACACCCTGTACACATCCACATAACACACAAACGTACCGAATAAATTCTCGAGTAGTTCCCGTTTTGCTCCCTGAAGCAATCCCGACGCCCCCTTCCCTTTGGCAGACATCGATACTAATCTATCTTATCGGGAGCCTGGACTTACGCTTTTTTCCCGGCCGTATATCGACAGGACTCCATTCTCGAGTTTTCCCCGACGTGCATTTCAAATAGGCGCCGTGTTGCCATTCTCCCCCGAAAATACCCCTCGATTACGAGGAGCCCCCCGGTTATCGGGAGCGAAGCGGCAACGAGTACGTATAATATGCATACTCCAATTAAGCGGAGTCGGTTGTCTTGCAGACGCGGTGCTTGTACGTTGTAGCGAGCGCATACGTACGAGTGTAGTTTGTAGTATACTCGAGGCCCCGTTCCTCGTTCCCGTCTCATTTTCAGTCCGAGTCAGTCGCCTCCCGAGTCGCGGCGTTGTCAAGTGAGGCCCTGAATTTCTCTATCTTGAAGGGTGGAAATTTCAATGGAGATGTTGCATGTATGAGGGATTTGCGATTTGACAGGGATTGCCAAAAGTTCGCGAGAAACACGATGGTGATACTGGTTTTCTCGGAAATCAACTCCCAAGCTCAAAAAAAGCTCTCAAGTTGAGGCCAAAATGGAGGGTATATCCCACACTATCCTGAGAGTCCACCTCTACATCAAGACAATCCCTCCATGCGAAGATAGGGAGCAATTACATTAGCAGGGTTGCCGTGTTTTCAGTTTTGGAGTCCCCAAATAAAGTGGCAGCCCTGTCAATGTATTTGCTCCCTATCTTTGCATGGAGCGCTTGTCTTGATGTAGAGGTGGACTCTCAGGATAGCGTGAGATATCCCCTCCATTTTGGCCTCTACTTGAGAGCTTTTTTTGAGCTTGGGAGTTGATTTCAGAGAAAACCAGTGCACCATCGTATTTCTCGCAAACTTTCACATTAGAATCCATAGTCAAATCGCAAATTCTTCACACATGCAATTGTGCAATGTAATTGCAATTTATTCCAATCTGTGCTACTTGGGGCGCATGCGTTAATTGTAAGTCTTCGGAAGATAAAATGTTTTTTTTTTTTAAATGGAATTTTGGCAACATAGATCGGGGCGAGTAGGTACTCGTGCGATCGGGATTGCGATTGGGATTCGAAGTTCGGACTGGGAGTACGCGAGTACAGGAACGTGCCTCGCGGATCGGAGTGCGCGCCTTCGACCTAAAGACATATTTCAATTCCATGTGAGCCCTGAAAAGCATGGGGGTATATGGAGAACAGGGCTCACGTTGGGATGAACATACGTCCCTACGTCCGAGGAGTGAGGACTTGTATGCAGTGACAGACGGGAACGACCAACGCGGCGCGGCCTAAGAGCGTAGCGACGTGCGTGGGCGCATCAAGCACCTCCTCCTTTGCCAAATTGGGCTAAAATTCTCGAGTTTAATACGATCGAGGGAGGGAGCCTTAGTCAAATAAATGTTCCTCGGAGGAGATTTCAGCCTCTGCACACTGGAAAAAAAATCACATTGGATCTAGATTCCGGACTCTTAAAAACATCGACAAGAAAAAATACTCTTGATCCATCGGATTTTTGCTTAAATCAAGAACCAAGCCTCTTTATTTGAGCGGATTTCCTTTTGATGTAAGCAAAAATCTGATTCAATCAAGAGTATTTTTTCTTGTCAATGTTTTCAAGAGTCTCTTCTCTAGATCCAATGTCTTTTTTTTTCCAGTGCAGAGGAAACTATCGAGGGTGTTTACAAGTCCGGAATTCCCGGAAAGTCCGGAAATAGTACTGATTTTCTAAGGGCGGTCCGGAAGTACCTACTGAAAAAGTGCGGAATTTCCGCAAGAAGGTCCGAAATTTTACTCACTTTTTTGTCATTTTTGTCGCAAATTGAGCGAGAAATTCAAATTTTCGAAATTTTTCAAATCTCGTCAAGTGGAGGTACTGAAAAAGTACCAAATTTTTCTGATGAGGAGGTACTGAATTTCTTGGGAATGCAATGAAAAAGTACTGTAAAAGTACTGATTTTTGGCCAGCCTTTTTTAGTAGACACCCCCCTATCGTCCTCGGTCCTTTGGTCGAGAGGCAAAATAGCCGAATCTGCCATGGAAATAGCGTTCGGTTTGGCAACGCGGTGACGAGTACACGCGTCTCGCGACCTACGGCGCGCCCAATTAGACGCCCCCTGCGCCCTCCCTCCTCTCCCCGCCCCGCCTTCGCAGTGTACGTGCGTACGTGTGTACGTGTGTTAGCATGTCGGCGCGGAATCAGAGACTTGGAGAATTAGTAGCGGCGTTAGCGGATAATCTCAAAGGTGAGAGTCGAACACAGCCGAGTTTCGTAGTGGGAAGAAGGATTTGCGAAACTTCGCTATCGAACCACAGTGCGAATCTGGGAGGGTGCGAGGGTGTAGGCAGTGAATGCCTTAGCAACTTGGTAGCCATCATCGTGAGTTTGACCGTTTCAACGTGTGTAAAGTACTCGATTTCTATCGATGTAGGCTGACTTGCACAGAATCGAATATTTATACTAGATTGTAATGGAGGATAAATTGGACGTATTTCCATCAAACGGAACTGTGTGCATTAAGACATGAGCCCTGAGACCCATAAGAATACACGCATAACAGGGCTTACGTCAGAATGCACATAGTTCCGTTTGATAGAAATACGTCGAACTGTCTTTCGTGTCACTGGAAAGATCAGTAATTTCAAAAAAATGAAAATTTGAAGAAATGGACCTCCTTGTAGTGTTGTGCGAGCAGAAAATTTTATTGAATTTGTCATTTTTCGGACGAAAGGAAAACTACCTTTCAACATTGCAGTATGATATTTCGTAAATTCCTTTGCACCATGCAGGAAAATTTTTGATAAACGGTTACGACTTGGTGAGTTTTTGGACTAACGCTCTCTTTTTGTGCTGTAGTATCTTGATTTATTTTGCGAGGAAAGCTCCGTACTCTTAGATGGTGCCTGAAATTCTTAATGAGTTGGAGCGCCTTCAACCTCGTACGATACTGTGCAACACCTCTGTTGCACAATAGTTGCTTGAAGCGCCGCGCCGCGGCGGACAAGGGCGACGCATTGCGCAATGCGTGAAGTATCCCTGTTAGGTTTGCAGGGGCCAGTGCGCATTTTGCGCTGGCAGCACGCCGCTCCGCTCTGTGTTTGGGTTTTTAGGTTGTGACGTTGGATACCACTAATTTAACCTCTGGGATGCCGAATTGCCTATCCTCCGTGATGAAGGCGAAATGGTGTGTCGTTCTGCGAAACGCAACTCGAAGCCGAACAAACGTAACCGAACGTGGTGGCCACACGCGAAAATGAGCAAAATTGTATTCAGAGATTGCAGTTATATTCTCGTAAAAATTGAACCGTCTGAGTCAATTTTCTAACCTTGGAATTGAGTTACGTTCCTTCGTCTGAGAAACGAAAAATTAGTCGTTCCTCTTCGTGTGATTTTACATTATTCCGTCTTCAGTCATGTCTTTTTTTTTTATTATTAAAACTCGACCTAACGTCGAGAATTTGGTTTCTCCCATGTAAATGCTCCCAGATGTTCCTTTTGCCGCGCTCACGTCGGAAAAAACTGCTGACGTATCGGACGGACCTAATATTAAAATCGGTCCCGTAAGAATTTCCTCTCTTTCCGCGTAGAAATCAAGTCATATCCGCAGGGCTATTATTGCGACTGAAGCTGGAATAAAGACATTATCTTCCGAGCGAATCCTTTCAGGAGAGCGATTACGAGGAAGTTGGAATGGCAATATAGCGGAATCGAATCCCGGGCTAACAGCACTTTCCACCACCCCGGCAGTAATCACGTGCATATTTAGTTTTTGCTGTCTACAGAGGAAAGCGCAGAGATATTCTTTTCTGATCACGTAAGGATCTCTTGCATTTTCAATCTGGTTTTTGGTCAGAGCTGCGATGTCTCAGCCCTCGAATTTTAGAAATTCATTTCGTGTACTTAGGGTCTTCATTTCAAAAACCAAAATTCTCGTATCCACCGTCACGAATCACGATTCAACTGGGTCAGTTGATGTTTTACGCCGTAACTAGTATTTCGCCTTCAAC